ATTTGGCGGAGGGTGAAGATATGATCAATACATCCTCGACCAGAACGAAACCCAGCCTGCTCCTCGCGAGTCAATCTTTCTCGGGTTTTGAACAACCTACGAAGTATGATGGAAGCCAATAACTTGGACGCAATCGGAAGTAGACTTATCCCCCGATAGTTGTTACAGGAACGACGTGAACTCATTCCATGACCTCGGTACACCCTCTAGTTCTCAGTCCTTTTTAAACAACGTTGTCAATTCCTTAATCAAAAGAGCTGGAGGTAAGTCATCTGGGCCAGGTGATTTGTAGCGCTTCAAGAGTTGGAGTTCCTTGCGGACTTCCGCCTCATTTGGTGGAGCAGTCGTCACTGGCCTTGGAGGGCAGGACAATGTGACCGATGTTGTCGGAGCAGCAGGCCAGTTGAACTGCCCCTCGATATCGTTTCTCATGCCGATTTCTTCTCACTTTGATGGAACTTTCTAATTTGTTGGTGTGTATGGGATAGAGGGGCTAGGTCATCTGCGAAGTTGAAATCATCTAGTCGCATCCAACATATCCATCGTATTCCGTGCCTCTCCGGAGATGTGGAGTTCTTCATAATTCAGTCATTTATTTATGTGGATACATACATTGGCACAAGGGGGCGCGAAATACATATGCGCTACACAATAACAATGGGGTTGTAAGAGGCAAAGAATGTAAAGTGCGTATAGTAAAAGAGAAACAACAACGAACAGAAATTAGTGTTTGAGGGTGAAATAATAATAATGATAATAATAATAATAGGAGAAACAGTTGAGTTAGCAAAAATATAACCAAAAATAATTCTTTCAATCAATGAAGTTACGTTCCTTTTTTATAAACTAAAGGGAAGTTACAGCAGAATCGCCACTGGCTTCTATTCTGAGCCATATCTGATAATGTCTCTAGCCACCCATGTTCAATACTCTAGTGGAGTACTACAAGTTCGTGTTCCATCTGTCGATTCGGAATGCCGGATTCAGGTACGCCTAGTTGGGGACCCTGGGATATATTCCTCTGCTTTTGCTGGTGTTGGTATCACACTGGGCGCCTGAGCAGGGGGAGTATTAATCGATTGAATCACTATTAACAATTGTCTATGTGCTGTTAGATTAGAAGGCTCCATCAAAAAGAGAAAGAACTGGTTTATGAAACGGTGTATTCTCGTTTTTTCCGTCTACGCCCCAATTGATTGCAACCCGAATGCAATCAAGAATGAGTTCTACCATCAGTTGAATGATCTTAAGAAAGCGCAGATACTAACATATAAACGTGAATTAGTTGAATTCAACTAAATAGACATCGTAACTTACATGTTTGGTCATGAGTACAGTGAAGTTAATTGATAAAGCAGGAAGTGCTATGACAACTGTGAGTGGAAGCAGGATTGGTGTACCTAACATTATACTACAAACAGTAACAACACGACGAAGTTTTGACCATCGGCTGCGACCCAATACAGTACAACCGGAAAAACTGGAAATGGTAAACACATATAAATGAAGTAGTGGAATACAGTAATATGGAAAGTTATTAATCAAAAGTAGATGAACGTATCTATAAGTAATCGTATGATGTGAAATTTACACAGTACTCAAAAGTAACAAGCCAAAGAAAAAAATTATCTGGTATTTTTTAGTCTTCGGTGGTTTTCAGTTGGTTTCAATGCCCATTAAAAACGGTCTTCAGACTAACTAATAGTAATACCTATTAGTACTGAAAACTAGCAAGTAGCCAAAGTGTATTGAGTTTAATAAGCGAAACAGGTCACTCACTTTCTAATCGATTAAGACATACCTGGTTGTTGAGACTAATTCTTATCCATCATATCACAGTATGAATTAAACTGAGGGGTATGTGAATTTGAATAATCTCATAATAATGAAACAAGAGTGACTCGTGGATTTGGCGAATTTCCTAGAACAGTAATTGTCAGAAAAGTTAAATCAGTAGGACTATTACCTGGAGGTTAAGAAGACAAGGTAGGATCGGCAACTTAAACGGGACATTTATCTATAAATCGTTGGTTATATCTGTTTTACCACCACACTTAATAATAATAAGTGTGACTAACTCAGTCAGTTACCAAACAAAAATTCTTCGACTCAGGTTAACTTGCAGGCTACTGATACTACCTGTCTGCGTAAACGAAAGTAGGCAGTGAATGGTCGAAACATGAACCTCTGTATTTGGTAATCAAGTAGTTTAAATGTCAAGGCACCATTTTACAAATACGCAAGAAAATGAAAGACAATATGAAAGTTCCAGGCGTCCGATTATACGTATTCGTTTAGTTTTGTAATGTTTTTAATTTGACTTGGATTTATATAAGCGTTGAGGTAATATAATAAGCATTTTAATTTAAATAGCTTATACTCATAATTTTGTCAGTCGGTACCTTTTGCTATGTAACGAAATTTGACGCACTAGCCCTATATGCAAGTTCATATTTGATTGAAAAAATAAATAGCACTTAGTTATTTGAGGTAGACAGGTATATCTTTTTGGGAAACATAATCTTTATAGCCGAGTTTACCATAGATGTATTTATTTATATCCTATGGATAACACAAACAGCCGGCACATTCTATAGTTGTCAAATGCTATTTAATACTCTAAAGATGGTTTGTGTGGTCTTCTAGCTTAACCGTAAAATGACAGGTTTTTGATTTTTTTCGCATAGTTCGACTGTGTAGTGCTATGTCAACTCTTAAGGCCGAACCCGAAGTATTTTATCTTCAGGGATTTAACGTTCCCATATCTTTCAGCTTGGTTCATTTGTATATGTTCCCCTGAACACTTAATGTGATCAATTAGTTACTATCACAGTTTCAATTCAGCTAGCTCAACAGGTTACTGTTTCGAAGTAAAACTTCGTGAAATCCATACTAAATCTGTCCACTGCTCTCTAGCTTTCAGTTCTATGTTTTTAAACTCGTCAAACCTCCAGAAACTTAGTTAAATCTTGAATCCGTTCGATCGTGCAAGTGACCTTTAAGTATACATATGATGAGAGATGTTGTCATAGTCTGATTTAAGTGTGGTAAGTTGCAAAAGATATTACTGGTACTATGCAATCTCTTCGTTTTTTAGTTTATTCACTTTCATTTTCTCTAGTATTTTGTTACTGTTTTATATTAACTTAGATTAGAAAGGTTCGCAGACGCTTGAAGTAATGTCATTAAAATAATATAAATTTTTATATGGATCATATTCTAAAGTTAAGAAAATATCAAGTTCACTACATTTTATAATATACCTCTTTACACAGTATTTCTGGTTATTTCCTCTGTGTTTAGAAATCTAGTTTGACATTCATATGCGATAATTCATTAGTTAACGTTGATTGATCATCTGTTGATTAGATTTCCGTTTTAGTTATGCTTAAATATCGGCAACTATTATTCTGTAGGCTACAAAGAAAGTAGTTTAACAATAGTGTCATCTTTTTTATATTCATTCATTCTAAATTAATTATACCTCTATCTAGTCTGATACATAATGCTTATTACTTAATATCACTTGTATTTGTTAGTGCTTCTCCATTAAATACATCTTAAACTTTTAATAAGATAAATATAAGATTTTGTGTATAACTTTCAGATAATGAAAGTTTAATCAACTGTCAGTCATTTCTCAGACGATAATTTTTACATTAAGCACGAACACCATCATTGAAATTTTGTCGACCCACTTAATATACCATTAACGTTATTAGGATACCAGAATATATATGTACAGCGAAACCTGTCTTCTAGTTTAATGGCTACGTTCGTCTGTTATATGACGTGATGAAAAGGCGACATTAGATTCTTTTACTCATTGTGATTTTTATTCAACAGTACCCCCGTTTTAAATTCAATGTGATAATTACCTAGTTTAGTATTTGTTTTGTTTTTCAATGTGATATTTTATTCGGTACAACATACGATATTTTTGTATTAAATTAACATAAACTATGCTCAGCATGGCGTGTGCCCCCAAATGCCCTGGTACAGCCGAGAGTGGGGAGAGTCCGCTCTCCCTCTCCAAATACTCTCATATGGCCACGCGTATGCAGCCTCTGCCAGGGAAGTCCTACTCATTGCCTTCTTGTGGTAGGGGTGTTGTTTACGAAATCGAGAGGATGAAAAGCGAACTTCCGGCGCTTTAACCGGGTTGGTGGACATGGAGAGTCCACCTAGGGGAGTTGAAAAACCCTAATTACAAACCAATGGTGCACATGGGCTTCAGTATCCTAAAGGAACAAATGGCGTACGAACCGATTTCGTGGTCACCGGCTATCATGGGACTGCATCTCCTTACGATACTCCACTGTTTTGTGGATCAGACCTTCAGGTCGAAGGCTCCGGATATGGCCCCCTAAGAAAACCACCTGCTTCGGTTTGGGCACCCGGGCAGTATCACAGCCCTCACACATACCAAATGAGATTTGTGTGGCACATATGTATTTGGTGCCTCTTTGTACCAATATCTATGTGTTAAAATAAATAAATAAGCATGATATTTAGCATGGAATTTGTTATAATTTTTTATATATGCAATTTCATACTAATTAATTATCAAATAGGTTTACAATCAATGTATAAACGAGCGTATTTTCGACTAGGGTCGTCGTCGTGTTTTGGGTTTAACAAATCTTCTATTGTACCGGTTGTGATGTTCTTACTTCCCGTCGTGGAAATTGCAGTAGTTCCTTGTTTTTACAAGTATAAGTAATAAGTGATTCCGACATAACACAATCAGTGATGACCAGTTATAACAAATTGACGACGAGACATAACAATCTGTGCACATACAATGTCTTAAATCTAATAATGCAACAGAGTATTAATTTCAAAAAGCTGAGATGAATTTGTTATCTAATATAAGCAGATTCGTAAATCTTTTTTTGTGTGTAGTATATATTAATTGTTGATCAATAATTTCTATATACACAATAAATCCACTCAAACGTTGTGTTTCAATTAGTTTGATTTCATTGTTTTCATTTTAGACTCCTTAGTGAAACCCTGTCCTAATTGTAAAACGCTCATACAAAAACTTAATGATGGAAGGTGTAATTCTATGGTATGCTCAATTTGTAATTATGAGTTTTGTTGGTTATGTTTACGGGAAACTACAGCAACTCATTATTTGAAGTACGTAAGCAATAATCCTTGGTCTTTTGATGAATATATATTGTTATAACGCCCGGTTTTCCTTGTCTACACAAATGGGACGTTAATTTGCCTTGGATGAATATCTACACTACATTCCCTCCCAGTGTCTGTTCTACAGGACTTCAACACAACTCACATCAAGAACACATGATTAGCCTGACTAGAACGTAAATACATTTCTACATCAAAAACCGTCAGCAAGCCTACACAATCCAATAATAATAATGATAATAATAAGGATGGAAGAATATATAATTCATCTAACACCTGTCAGACTACAAGTCTGAGTAAGTAAACAGCCAATCATTGTCATTCTCGCCCATATATATATGGTGGTGTTTATCAAGACAGACACTCAGAATGCGGAGAAGGCGAGAAAGCCAACTTCGATTTTGTCAAGTGTGACTCAATATTCATAACCAGACAAAAATAAGTTGCAGACACGTAATGAATAGGGTAAACAATTAATACACGTATGATCATATAAAAACAGTCGATGCTAATAAGCGAATAATTAACGAGGTCGAAATGTGACTTGAAACAAATCAATAGATCGGTCTGTCCGGAAGCTAGAATGACCAATATAGGCTTGATATAGTACTAAACACTACAGCTGCAACACAAACCTGGAGACCAGCAAACGTTAAGCACTTACAATTGGTTGATCTCGGAATAGTGACCAACGTTACGTATATCAAGTCCTTATTAGTGCTGATCGAATTCTATCGATCAAGTTGCAACTTAGTCACTAGTTTGGGTTACTCGACATCGCATAAACTATTTTGACATATAAAATGGTGATTAGAGGTAGTCTATCTAAAACCCCTGAACCTAGGTTTCATACCATTTTGAACTCTTTAGTATGGTGTACCTGTAACTTTGAGGGTACTAATAATTCCTGGCGTATTCGATCCCGTGTCATTCAGCTTCACAATCGGAGATATCTCAGTCCTACAGGAAGTCAGTCGCGGTCCGAAAATCTCAACAGTAACATCACTGGTTATGAAGCTGCGTATTACGGTATTGGACCCACAAGGAGGCATCAGCTTCCTTATTATTACAGGTACACCTTGCTGACGAGTACCAAATAACACGAAACCTAAGTTCAGGGTTTCTTGTCGACTAACTCCAACCACCATAGTAATCGCCTAAATTAACAACTGTTCAACCCCAATTTACTCAGAGCAACATAGGCGTTTATGAAAGTGAATAGCATTAAATGGCCTCTAGTTTACCTAGTATGAAAAATTATTAATTGAATATGTTCCCAGTCAAGCAGTTAACCATGCGCAACGTATAACCTGGTACATATGTACTTCTGTCCAACTTGCTGCACCAAATCACCGCGAGACTCCAGAAGAATATAAGTAATGACAGTATCAGTTGTATTAGAAAAGTTAAAGAATGAGGATATGACTCGAGAATAGATAGTTTGATAGAAAGAAAACGAGTAAACAGACCTATGCCATCACGAATAGTTCTGAGCCATATCACCCAAAGATCCTAACCAAGTAGCCTTCACCTACCTTCATAACTTGGACGAACAGTCGATGACTTCATGAATTGATACCGCGTTTTGTCGTGGCACACAATAGATATCTCAATTGCCTTAGCATTGCGTTCTCTATCGTTTCAATATACTCCAATGCTTCGAAAGAATCTCTAATAAAGTACTAGTAACCCACAAACATCCTCTAATTTTAAGGTCATGAGATAGCCATAAAGTAAAGATGGCAAAAGCGAAGTGAGCATTCTGAATCTATTGCGAAATTCCATCGGACACCAAGCCACGATGTCTGATGACACTTCCAAGATAACTGAAGTGGTCGACGCATTCAACTATTTCACTCCATATCATTAGTTTAGGCGTTGACAAACATCCAATCCTGAAGCGACATTTTCTATAAAAGGCCGGTTGTCTGTGTTATCCATAGGATATAAATAAATACATCTATGGTAAACTCGGCTATAAAGATTATGTTTCCCAAAAAGATATACCTGTCTACCTCAAATAACTAAGTGCTATTTATTTTTTCAATCAAATATGAACTTGCATATAGGGCTAGTGCGTCAAATTTCGTTACATAGCAAAAGGTACCGACTGACAAAATTATGAGTATAAGCTATTTAAATTAAAATGCTTATTATATTACCTCAACGCTTATATAAATCCAAGTCATATTAAAAACATTACAAAACTAAACGAATACGTATAATCGGACGCCTGGAACTTTCATATTGTCTTTCATTTTCTTGCGTATTTGTAAAATGGTGTCTTGACATTTAAACTACTTGATTACCAAATACAGAGGTTCATGTTTCGACCATTCACTGCCTACTTTCGTTTACGCAGACAGGTAGTATCAGTAGCCTGCAAGTTAACCTGAGTCGAAGAATTTTTGTTTGGTAACTGACTGAGTTAGTCACACTTATTATTATTAAGTGTGGTGGTAAAACAGATATAACCAACGATTTATAGATAAATGTCCCGTTTAAGTTGCCGATCCTACCTTGTCTTCTTAACCTCCAGGTAATAGTCCTACTGATTTAACTTTTCTGACAATTACTGTTCTAGGAAATTCGCCAAATCCACGAGTCACTCTTGTTTCATTATTATGAGATTATTCAAATTCACATACCCCTCAGTTTAATTCATACTGTGATATGATGGATAAGAATTAGTCTCAACAACCAGGTATGTCTTAATCGATTAGAAAGTGAGTGACCTGTTTCGCTTATTAAACTCAATACACTTTGGCTACTTGCTAGTTTTCAGTACTAATAGGTATTACTATTAGTTAGTCTGAAGACCGTTTTTAATGGGCATTGAAACCAACTGAAAACCACCGAAGACTAAAAAATACCAGATAATTTTTTTCTTTGGCTTGTTACTTTTGAGTACTGTGTAAATTTCACATCATACGATTACTTATAGATACGTTCATCTACTTTTGATTAATAACTTTCCATATTACTGTATTCCACTACTTCATTTATATGTGTTTACCATTTCCAGTTTTTCCGGTTGTACTGTATTGGGTCGCAGCCGATGGTCAAAACTTCGTCGTGTTGTTACTGTTTGTAGTATAATGTTAGGTACACCAATCCTGCTTCCACTCACAGTTGTCATAGCACTTCCTGCTTTATCAATTAACTTCACTGTACTCATGACCAAACATGTAAGTTACGATGTCTATTTAGTTGAATTCAACTAATTCACGTTTATATGTTAGTATCTGCGCTTTCTTAAGATCATTCAACTGATGGTAGAACTCATTCTTGATTGCATTCGGGTTGCAATCAATTGGGGCGTAGACGGAAAAAACGAGAATACACCGTTTCATAAACCAGTTCTTTCTCTTTTTGATGGAGCCTTCTAATCTAACAGCACATAGACAATTGTTAATAGTGATTCAATCGATTAATACTCCCCCTGCTCAGGCGCCCAGTGTGATACCAACACCAGCAAAAGCAGAGGAATATATCCCAGGGTCCCCAACTAGGCGTACCTGAATCCGGCATTCCGAATCGACAGATGGAACACGAACTTGTAGTACTCCACTAGAGTATTGAACATGGGTGGCTAGAGACATTATCAGATATGGCTCAGAATAGAAGCCAGTGGCGATTCTGCTGTAACTTCCCTTTAGTTTATAAAAAAGGAACGCAACTTCATTGATTGAAAGAATTATTTTTGGTTATATTTTTGCTAACTCAACTGTTTCTCCTATTATTATTATTATCATTATTATTATTTCACCCTCAAACACTAATTTCTGTTCGTTGTTGTTTCTCTTTTACTATACGCACTTTACATTCTTTGCCTCTTACAACCCCATTGTTATTGTGTAGCGCATATGTATTTCGCGCCCCCTTGTGCCAATGTATGTATCCACATAAATAAATGACTGAATTATGAAGAACTCCACATCTCCGGAGAGGCACGGAATACGATGGATATGTTGGATGCGACTAGATGATTTCAACTTCGCAGATGACCTAGCCCCTCTATCCCATACACACCAACAAATGCAAGTCAAGACAACCAGTGTAGCAGAAGCCTCTGCATCAGTAGGCCTCAACATACACAAGGGAAAGAGAAATATTCTCAAATACAACACGGAAAACACCAACCCAGTCACACTTCATGAAGAAACTCAGGAAGAGGTGGGAGCATTCACGTACCTGGGAAGCATAATCGATGAGCAAGGAAGGTCTAATGCAGATGTGAAAGCAAGGGCCGCCTTTCTACAGTTAAAGAACATATGGAACTCAAAACAACTGTATGCAAGCCAATATCAGAGTCAGAATCTTCTATATGAACGTCAAGACAGTCCTACTGTGCGGAGTTGAAACTTGGAGAACTACCACAACCATCATCAAAATAGTACAACTATTTATAAACAATTATCTACGCAAGATATTTAATATGTGTTGGCAGGATACCATCAGAAACAGCCTACTGTGGGAGAGAACAAATCAGCTTCTAGCTGAATAGGAAATTAGGGAAAGACGTTGGAGGTGGACAGGACATGCCTTGCAGAAATCATCGAACTGCATTACGAGGCAAGCCCTAACTCGGAACCCTGAAGGGAAACGGAAAAGTGGAGGGCCGAAGAACACTACGTCGGGAATTGGAAGCAGACATGAAAAGGATGAATAGCAACTGGAGGCAACTGTGAAGGATTGTCCAGGACGGATTTCTATGGAGAATGCTGGTGAGCGGCCTATGCTCCTCCACTACAGGTAATAGGCGTAAGTTTCTAAAAATTCGTACTCAACTGTATGATCCGAACTTTCGACCAATTGGTAACTTGAGTTTATTTGAGACCTTTATCTGATCACTTTTGAACCACTACTGTAAACCTTGACGCACTGGACAACCGTTTCCTCCTAGTATTGAACTCCAGCTGTACGCATCCATGATCCTGCACTCTAGTTTATTTAGACAAAAAACGTTTTCTCTATTGATGAGCTGCTTTGTGAGCTGGCAACAAGAATAAAGAGAGGATGGAAAAAAGGGAAAAGTAAAACAAGGCGAGACTAAAACACTTGAATTAAATGGGTAAGTTTTCAATGCCGAGTTAGCAGTGATGTCAGAGTCAGTCGATTTCTTCATGATTACTCACTGTCACTGTGAGACAGCTGAAATATTACCCGGGCTCTCAGACCGGACCATGTGGATTTATTAGACGGCTGCTCACCGAACGTTTTATCTAGAGATTGATTCCATAACGCCACAGGACCTTATGAAATGTGACCTCATGGTGATCACTCAAAAAGTCAGTCCATTGCACTATCGAACTTTCAAGATTCTGAAGTCACTGCGCACCATTAGTTTGGAATTAAGGTTTTCAAACTTTCTTAGATGGATCTTCCATATCCACCAACTTGGTCGTAGTTGGAAATAGAATGTGTATAAAGTGGCGGTTGGAAATGGCCGGTAGGATACCCTAGACCTAAATTTCATGATATTTGACACATATTGGCAAGGTGTACCTTATGCTCTCTGGTGAGTTCAATACGGTATCAAGCAACGCCATAGTCAGTGATGTTGCCACCGAGATTTTTGGATCGCGACTGACCTCCTGTAGGAATGTGTATATGTCGTTTGAGCGACTAGTTTGAAATCACTGTTTTCTTATTATTGAAGAACTAATTCTTTGTTAAGAAATATACTTGAACAGATTTTCTCAAAAGTAATAGACAAGTTTAATACCGCATTGAAAAAAAAATTTGAGAAATCTGACGTTTTTTTCGTAGTTTCTCAACTAATAAGTCAATCATATTGCTCTTCACGTGTTTTCAAGTCAAATGTCTGTTTATAATTTAGTCATACCGGCATTAAAAAGTATGCATACATTCATACAGTTATTGATTCCTGGTGTTTTTGTCTTAGCAATTTCACATAATACTTGTGTTTGATTGGCTAAAATCTCTAATTGCGATAAATTTTCGTCTCAACTGCAATCAATCTGTGGTTACCAGCACACTTTGCCGACAATTTTTACAAAACAACTTATGTTGACGAAGATTAGAAATACCATTTCCATGAATTTCTCGTATGTTTCTATGAAGTGGAATGTTTCTTTTTCTTATCATTTATGTCACATCTAATTACCATTGTTTGTTACTTGATTAGCGCTAATATTCTCCTAATACGATGCATTGTAGCGCCGATTTCAGCTCTAAGACAAAAATTCATACTAAGATTCTGTCTAAATATGCTCCGCCTTACTATCACTAGACAAAGCAAAGATGTTATTTACTCATAAGGTTTATATATTCGGCGAGTGTATGGCTCAATTTTTCCAGTACTACTATTCACACCACAGAAAACCACCTTTTTCTGTTACATGTTGAAAAATTTACAATAAGCCATGCCGTCTATATGACACTTTAATTCACGCCAAAAATATGTGATAATGGATGTTTTGACATCAAACTTGATTTCATAATTATCGTCACCAACCTCATAAAGAGGTGGAAGTGACTGTGCTTTATAGATATTCAGGTAACTTTAGTTTGGGAATCAATGGCAATTTTTCGTCACATGCTATCACTTAGCCGTTATTTCATTGGTGAACTATTTCTCTTTGTGCTGCTTGTCACCTTTGTTACTTACTTGATGGTTGATTATTACTTGTTAACTTTTTTGGTAGATTGAACAGTAATTTTGTCTGACCAAGCTATACATTAAATCTATTTCAGTGTATCTGCTGATTATTATTTCGTTTAGATAGTTGATCTATAGAAATACTTTTCGTAACAAGTAACTTTATAACAGCATCAAATACTTGTCATTTATATTCATGGAGTCAGATTTCGAATGTATTCACATCTATTGCTCGATAGATAAAATCAGAGGAACAAATAGTGATGTAAATATCTGAAATTTCACAGGCTTTAGAACCGGATGATAAAATAAGTCCCGATGAACACGTCGTCATTTTTTCTACCAGCATTTTGTTAGATACGACGAACACTTGTAAATTTATTTAATATTTTAGAATTTTTTGTATAGTCTTAACGCGTATCTAACATATTAATAAGTAAAATAGTTGCCTGATACTAAATCGTTAGTGGGTTGTGAATGCTTCAAACCTTTCCTAACAATAGCATTTACTTCTAATTATTCCATTAACATGCTGACTAGTAGCAGAGACATGTTAGTAAATAGTATGGTTTGTCTCACTATTCCTACCAGAGTTAGTTCAATAAAAATATTTAAATTACCAAAGTTAGCATACCATAATCTTGGATTGAATAATTATCAGCCATGTGTAAGGGTGTGGTGCATGCTACTTATATTGATATAAGTAGTATATAGCGCGAGTCAAAAGAACGCAATGTCTGGCAGCAGATGGAGAAGATCAAGAAAAGAAGAGCGAGAAAACAATGGAATTTGTACGAAATCGCATGAACAATGAAATGCGAGACAATGGATATGATAGAATGATATTTTGCAAATTAACGATTTACTATATGGTTCTTCTATTTTACCAAGTAATTCTGTAATTTGCCCTAAATACAATTTGGCTGTCCTCACCCGTGTTCTTCTTCACTACATTTGGTGTCGCTGCCTCCACTAAGGATGAAGATTCCATGGCCGGAGGAGTTTGAGGACGGAGATGTGCTGAGCTTCCTGAAGGAGTTTGAGGCCGTGGCGGAGCTGGTGGGAGTGAAGGAGCCGAAGGCGAAGTTGGTGGTGCTGGGGACGCTGCTGAGAGGCAGGGCGAAGGCTGTGTATGACAGCCTGGACGGTGCTGGCGGGAAGACCACATGGGAGGCAGTCACGGAGCGGTTGGCGGCGGAGTTCGACAGCCCAGTGGACAGAGAAGACGCGCTGCAGAAGTTCCGGTTGGCGAGGTTGCCGGTCGATGGGGACCCACTGGTGCTGGCCGTGGAGCTTACCAGGTTGTTGCGCCGTGCGCTGCCGAGTCTGGATGAGGAGTCGGAGGCGCAGTTGTTGGCGTCACAGTTTATCGAGAGTGTGCCTGCCACCGTCTCCCAACAGCTGAAACTGGTGAACGCAGCGCAACCGATGGATATCAGTGAACTGGCGAAGGTGACTCGTCAGCTGATGACGCGAACAGTAGCTCCGGTCGGGTGCGGAAAGCAGGAGATGAGTAATGTCGAGAAGAAGATTGAGGAGCTGGAGCGCGAGATTGCAGCAATACGAGTGAACAATAAAAGGAACGATAAATGTTACGCTTGTGGAGGGACAGGACATTGGAAGATAAACTGTCCAACAAGACGAAGACGCAGATATGTTAGACGTTACAACGAGTGTTCTTTCTATCCTAGGAATCTGGGGATTGTTGCGTTAGTAGACAGAGGGGCAGTATATACGAGAGTGAACATAAATGAGCGAGATTTAGTTTGTCTGATCGATACAGGTGCAGCAGTATCGTTAATAGGCAAAGAACAATGTAAGAGAATCAAGCCGTGTACATTAGCTGTCCACACGATAGGGGGCCATATGTTAGAGGTGTTTGGCGTATCTAACAGTATCGTAAAAGTGGGGGATGCGGAGATAAATTTTCCGTTCGTCGTAACCACAAGCTTATCGAGACCGATATTAGGCGCAGATTTCCTAAGAGAAGTAAAAGCGATAGTTGACTTAAGAAGCGGTAAGGTGGTCACGAAATATGGTTCATTGACAATACACGAAAGTAGCGAAGTGGCTGAAATAAGAGTTGCGGCGGATGGCTCGTCAAAGAAACCAAACATTCACGAGTTATGCAAAAAGTATGCCAAACTATTCACTGGAGATGGGGAGCCGTATGGATTTTGTGACAGAGTAAAGCACGAAATACCGATAAAGAACAGTCGAGTAAATATATTTGCAACACGTCGTGTCCCGGTGCATTTAGAAGCCGAGGTAAATCGTCAGGTCCAGGAAATGTTAAAAGAAGGTATAATTGAGGAAGCGGACAGCCCATATAGCTCGCCGGTACTCTTGGTAAAGAAACCAAATGGAAAGTATAGATTTTGTGTCGACTTCAGAGAATTGAATAATATAACAGACCTGAAGCCTTGTGCAATGCCAACAGTGGTGGAAACATTAGATCGGCTACAGAATGCCACGGTGTTTACAGTGCTGGATTTACGGTCAGGTTATTGGCAACTGCCTATAAAAGAGAGTGATCGGAGCAAGACAGCGTTTACTGTACGGGATAAACAGTATCAATTTAAACGAATGCCGTTCGGGTTGGCGGGTGCACCGTTCACGTTCAGAAGATTAATGACACTACTGCTCAAGAATCTAGATAATGTCGAGGTATATGGCGACGATGTAGTTGTGTACAGTCAAACAGAAACAGATCACATCAAGCATGTGGAAGCGGTCTTAAAGCGAATTGACGAATTTGGACTTCGGATTAATAAGGACAAGTCGCAGATAGCGAGAAGTAGCGTCACATTGTTGGGACATAAAGTGGGAAATGGAGAAATAAAACCATTGCCGGAGAAAATTCTTACCATAAAAAATATTGCAGTACCTAATTCGAAAAGGAAGTTGAGACAGTTCCTGGGAAGAGCGGCGTTCTACAGTCGGTTTATCAAGAATTTCAACGAAATAGCAGCACCCTTATATAAGTTATTGAGCAGCACCAAGTTTACGTGGACTGAGACTGCCGAACAAACGTTCAACCGAATCAAAAACATGCTAGACGATCGCCAGATGACGCTCAGACTGCCTGAACCGGGAAGACTGTTTACAGTGGCCACAGACGCGAGTGATCATGGTATAGGTGCTGTGTTGAGTCAGGCTGATAGAGTGGTGGAATACGCAAGTCGCGTCCTCACACCTGCTGAACAGAAGTATTCAACCATCGAGAAGGAGTGTTTAGCGATCGTGTGGGCAGTGGAAAAATGGAGACCATACCTTTTAGGTAGACGATTTCACATTGAGACGGACCATAAACCCCTGCAGTGGTTGAAAACAGCAAGAGACCCCCGAGGGAAGTTGGCGCGATGGATGATACGCCTGCAAGAATACGATTTCAGTATCGGCCATATTCCAGGAAAAGAAAACGTAATGGCAGATTACTTGTCAAGACCAGACATGGAAGCCGACCTGCCATTAACAGCATACGCGGTGAATAGTTTAGAGGGAGACCCATTAGAACTCGTCCGGCAGCAGAAAGCTGACCCTAACCTTCGAGAGGTAATCAGAGTGATAAAAGAGGGAGCAGACGTAGATAAATGAACAATGGACAAGGAGGTAATAACGCTGCTTCGGCAAAAGGACCGACTGAGAGTGAACTCATATGGAGTGCTGACCTGGCAGGACGATGATGAGAATTGGGTGGCGGTGATCCCGAAAGACTGGCGGCGTAATGTGATACACGAGTGTCACCAGGTAGCACATACAGGCATCGCAAGAACGACGGACTTACTACGACAAAGTGCGTACTGGCCGAGCATGAGAGACGATGTGGCTGAATACGTGTTAACCTGCCAGCAGTGTCAGCTAATGAAAAGCGATCGATACACACAACCGCCATTACAGTCAATCCCAGTAACCGCAGTCGGTGATCTATGGTCGGTTGATGTGATGGGACCGTTTCCACAGACGGCGAGCGGTAACCAGTACCTGTTAGTGATGACGGAACATGCTACACGTTGGGTAGATGCCGTACCCATTGCAGACCAGCGGGCAAGGACAGTGACCGAGGTGGTAATCCGGCATATTGTAGCGTGTCACGGAATACCGAAGATGATATTAACTGACCAGGGTCCCTGTTTTGAAAGTGACGAGTTTAAAGCCCGTTTAAAGCAGTTTGGCATCAAGAGAATACGAACTACACCGTATCATCCTCAGACAAACGGGCTTACCGAGAGAAACAATCGGACGTTAAAGGAATGGTTAGCATCAAAAGGAGGAAATTGGGAGAAAGAGTTACCATTGATTTTGCTGGCACATCGTTCCTCCACACAAGGAACAACCAAGAAGTCACCTTTCTTGCTCATGTATGGCAGACAACCACGACTTCCAATGCATAATAAGACCTGGCCACAACAACAGAAGTGGACGACAACAAGGTTAAGAAAAGAGAGGAGAGAGGCAATAAGGAACGTGGAAAAGAAACAAATATCAGACACAAAGAAGGCAGAACAACAGAGGAGAACGTGGAAACCCTTTGCAGTGGGGGACCTAGTAAAGTGTAGAGAACGAAAAAGTAACATAGCAGGGGGAGCAGGGTCGGGGAAGCTGGCTCCAAAATGGGAAGGACCGTATGTTATCACGGAGAGACGCGGCTCGGTCTACACGATCCGGAGAGAAGACAAGCAGAAGCGCGTAAATGCTAGTCAACTACAGAGATGGTTTCAAGATCATCATGGGTGTGAACCACGAAAAGCACCAAAGAACACAGCGGTACGGAGATCAGAAAGACTACGACAGCAACTTGTTAAAAGGGGGGACGAGTGTGGTGCATGCTACTTATATTGATATAAGTAGTATATAGCGCGAGTCAAAAGAACGCAATGTCTGGCAGCAGATGGAGAAGATCAAGAAAAGAAGAGCGAGAAAACAATGGAATTTGTACGAAATCGCATGAACAATGGATATGATAGAATGATATTTTGCAAATTAACGATTTACTATATGGTTCTTCTATTTTACCAAGTAATTCTGTAATTTGCCCTAAATACAATTTGGCTGTCCTCACCCGTGTTCTTCTTCACTACAAGGGGGACCTTGCAAAATTTTAGGTGATTTTATCCAGTCTGTAGCAAAGTGGTTTAAAGCGAAATATCTTTATATCTCCTTTACATACGTTTTTTGTTATCTACTTTTATTGTTTTGTACACTAGACCTAAGTACCATTTCTTTGAATTGTGAAGACAAACTTCAACTAGTAATTTTTATCTACATTTGGTAGGTTAATTGGATGCTTCTTTCGAAATCCAAACACTTAAGACGGTTTGTTCTATTCTGGGTTGTAATCGCTGGTCTCATTGTGTTCCCAGTACTAACAGGTAAGTGCCATACTTTTGCCTTTAAGTTTTCTTCACTTGATCTTGGTTTAAATGAAACAACCCTCATTCTAGTCACATTAAGACAACAGATCTGCGGAGTACCTTTTTCTGGTCTACGTTTTGCGGAAGAATATCAAACTTTTTGTGTTCAGTCTTAAAATTACAGGAGTACATATGGTTTGCGACTGCAGATCGCGCGTTACAAAATATATCATACCACTGTGGTTACGTTCACTTTTGATTTTGCTTTCTATCTGTTCATGTTTGTAATCTAATTTGTCTCATAGTTTTATTTCCGTTGCTAAGCATATGTCATACATTTTACCTTGTGACAGCTTGAAGTGGTGCACTGCTATAGGATAGGCTATCTATTACTTCAATCGTTCGGTAAATTATTTGACTAAAAAAAATAAAAGTTCATAATATTTCTAATGCAAACTAAGAGTTGGTACGGTATCAAACTCAGAGACTATTTACATAGTTTTCAGGTATTTTTATTTCATTCTGTTTGCTAATCACATTAATCTAGTTTTGTAAAGACAATCGAAATATCCAAACCAAAGCAAAATGGCCGTTCATTTCTCCATGCCTTTCATTTATTGATCAGCTTGCGATGAGAATTAACTCCGGCATATAATTTAAGAGATAAATCGTTACTGACTTTCATTTTTAAAACATCAATAAATCATGTTTGCTAAAAACCATTCCCAGAAATCATTCAATGTAAACAAATAACAATGAAGGTTTCTCAATTTCTACAAAGTGTATAATCAAAGAATGGGCGTTAAACTAATAAAATAAATCTGTTATATTAATCGTATTGCCCCGCGTTTTAATTCCAGTGATAAAATATGTATCCCTATTAACTTAGTATATTTACCTAGACTTAACTGTTGTGTAATGAATACGTTAACGATTATATGAGATGTTTAGTGGAAATAGTCTTGAGATTATGTATAGTTCAAGGATTCGGATGCGCATGCAAACTATGCAAGCAAGATGGATATTAACCTGGGCCAGAATTGTTGAATTAGTTATAACTGATTTTAAATGACCAAATAAATGATAAGATAGGGAAACATTACATATACAACGTTCACTTGGATATCTTCTTACTGTTATCAAAATATTACATTTTTCACCCTACTTGTCAGACGTTCTTCACATATCTTGTGTGTGATTTATTTATAAATACAGACTTTATTTTAGATCTGAATTCTATGAACAAGAATATGTAGCAGTATGCACCACATTTGTAGTGCATAGCGGCGTGTTTACGGAAAATAATCGTAACAGTAATAATCCATCAGGTATATGTGATTAGTATTCTACGTTAATGCGTCATTCGTCGACCTCACCAAATTTATTGTATTGTTTGTAGTAGTTGCAGCAGCCATAGCTGGTAGAAAAACGTGCTGTCGAAATTCCGATCGCATAATAACCTTTGCATCTGATTTTTATTTGTGATGGTGTTGTCATTAATTTGTATTTATTAAACAACCAGTTTGTCGACTGTCGATGAGACAGAGAACCTATCCTTGTAGCTACTTAATTATGGAGTCCGTACCCCTTCTCGGGTTACTGCCGGTCCAAAGCCCGGGTAAACAAGGAGGGTTAGACATGGTGTCAGCAACTCCATACCATAAAAAACAACCTTGTTAAAACAATGATAAACAGATTAAACAAAAAGTAAACCATTCAAACTGTTCTGGAAGTTGGATGATCTTCGTTTATAAGAATTATGACGCGTCATGATGAAAGCCGACATTCTTCAGAAGTCACGAGGCCAAAGCCCCTTCTAACCACCAGAGTAAGAATTAATATGGGTACATGGGACGTCCGGACAAAGTGGGAGACCGAGAGGATCAATCAAGTGGCTATGGAAATGAGGAGATACAACCTGGAAGTCCCAGGAATCAGTAAAACCCATTGGACCCAAGCTAGACAGAAAAGGATAGATTCAATAGAGGTGCTGCTTCACTCTGGTCAAGAAGAAAGTACTCCACACTCACGGAGTTGCTCTGATGCTGTCCAAAGAAGCACGCAAAGTACTTATAGGATGAGAATCTCATGGACCCAGGATCATCAAAGCATTCTTCACAACTAAGAACGAGGGAATCACAATGAATATTATCCAATATCATGCACCCACCAATGATAGCAACGACGATGATAAAGATAAGTTTTACCAGAGGCTGCGATCGATCATAGAGAATTGCCCAGGAAAGGATCTGACAATCCTGATTGAAGATCGAAACGCCAAAGTTGGAATGGACAACAACGGTTATGAAGATATCATGGGACGGGATAAACTAAGAGAAAGGAACGAGAATGGGGAGATATTTTCAAATCTATGTGCATTCAACAAAATGGTTATAGGCGGCATAGTATTCTGACACAAAGCTACGTGGGTCTCACCGGATCACAATACAGAGAATCAGATCGATCATATTTGCAACAGTGAAAAATTCGAAAAGTCGATGGAAGACGCGAGAACCCAGAGAGGTGCTGACATAGCTTCACATCATCACCAACTGGTGATTGCCGAGATCAAACTGAAGCTAAAGAACCAGTGAACAACTGGACAAACAGCACTACAAAGGTTCAATACAGCCTTCCTTCGAGATACTGACAAACTCAGTGAATTGAAGATACCTCTGAGCAACGGGTTCCAAGCCTTACAAGATCCTACTCACAGAAGCAAAGACTAATATGGAGGACAACTGCAAAGAGATCAGAAGCACTAACTTCAACATGTCAGGAGGCTCTGGGCCGCAGCAAGCATCATCATAAAGAATAGATATCTATCGAAACCCTGGGCAAGATTCAAGAAAGGAAGAACAAGAAGATAGCAATTAACAATAGCCGAACAATAACAGAAGTCAGGTTACAACTTGAATATATAGAAGCAAACAATATAGTGAAGAGGAGCATTATAGTCGTCAAGTAGAAATACGGGGAAAACCTAGCAGCGACAGCGGAAAAACGCTTCAAGAATAGGAAATATGAGACAGCTATATGACACGACGAAGAAGCTGGGAAATGTAGTAATCCAGAGAGACCGGTCAAGGACAAAGAAGTTAAGTTGATCACTGAGATTCAAGAACAAAGGAACAGGTGGGTAGAGCATCTGAGGAATTATTGAGTAGACCAATCCCATTGAACCAACCATACATCGAAGCAACACACGCAGAACTTCCTATCGATGTCACTCCACCAACAATCGAAGAAATCAGAATGGTCATCATACATATCAATCGTGGGAAGGCAGTGGGACCTGACAACATACCAGATGAATCACTGAAGTGAGACACAGAATTAACTTCAGAAATGTTTGTTGAGGGCTAATTTCTTCTATATCTCACTCCAATAAATGATATCCCGTTAACTGAGTATTTAAGGTAGGCTAAATCTCCTAGTAGAATTATGGATTTACTGGAGATTATTCAGAAGCCTGAACATCAGTTGTAGAGATATTTTATTGTTAAAGATAAATAACATCCGCAAGCGTACACGCACACTGTGAAACCAAGAGTGTGTGTGTTAAAAATCCATATATATTTTTGAGTGTCAATCAAGTGTGGATGAATTATTGATTATGTGAATGTTACAACCAATAGGAGAATAGATTGAGGTTGATGTGCAGACACGCGCTCAATCATACACACACAGAAATTAACATAGTGAATTAAGTGTGTGAATTACAGTGAGTAGACAAATGATACAATAGTTGAATGGGCTTGCTACATGCTCCACGATCACTTTAGAAAGAGTGGGCAGGAAAAACAAGTTCCGACAGACTGGAAAGAATGATATCTCATCCAGATACTAAAGAAAGGGGATCTGAATAAGTGTGAGGACTATAGAGCCATAACACTACCGGCAAAAGTACTCAACACAGTGTACCGATAAATCGCGACACTACGGATCATCGTTGAACAATCAATTGAATAGAGCTCGTCACTATACATCAACCTCCTTGATTATCAGAAAGCATTTGAGTGTGGATAGGAGAACACCACGGGAACTTCCTCGACACTATAGAGTACCTGAGAAAATCGTCAACATCATACGGAATTCGTACGACGGGCTACATTGCAAAGCCGTGCATGGATGAGAGTCTTCATACGCATTCCGAGTAACGACCGAAGTCTGACAATGCCGCTTACTCCCCCCTTCTCTTCTGGTGGTTGACTGGAGTGGGACATGTTGTCGTGGTATGAAAGAAAGCTGCACACGATTGACTACTGTTGGTTCTTCATGACTCCGTGGTTGAGGTCCTAGAAATGGTGCAACACGGTGGCTAGAGACGTTGTGAGATATGGCTCAGAATAGAAGCCAGTGGCGATTCTGCTGTAGCTTCCCTTTAGTTTATAAAAAAGGAACGTAACTTCATTGATTGAAAGAATTATTTTTGGTTATATTTTTGCTAACTCAACTGTTTCTCCTATTATTATTATTATCATTATTATTATTTCACCCTCAAACACTAATTTCTGTTCGTTGTTGTTTCTCTTTTACTATACGCACTTTACATTCTTTGCCTCTTACAACCCCATTGTTATTGTGTAGCGCATATTTATTTCGCGCCCCCTTGTGCCAATGTATGTATCCACATAAATAAATGACTGAATTATGAAGAACTCCACATCTCCGAAGAGGCACGGAATACGATGGATATGTTGGATGCGACTAGATGATTTCAACTTCGCAGATGACCTAGCCCCTCTATCATATACACACCAACAAATGCAAGTCAAGACAACCAGTGTAGCAGAAGCCTCTGCATCAGTAGGCCTCAACATACACAAGGGAAAGAGAAATATTCTCAAATACAACACGGAAAACACCAACCCAGTCACACTTCATGAAGAAACTCAGGAAGAGGTGGGAGCATTCACGTACCTGGGAAGCATAATCGATGAGCAAGGAAGGTCTAATGCAGATGTGAAAGCAAGGGCCGCCTTTCTACAGTTAAAGAACATATGGAACTCAAAACAACTGTATGCAAGCCAATATCAGAGTCAGAATCTTCTATATGAACGTCAAGACAGTCCTACTGTGCGGAGTTGAAACTTGGAGAACTACCACAACCATCATCAAAATAGTACAACTATTTATAAACAATTATCTACGCAAGATATTTAATATGTGTTGGCAGGATACCATCAGAAACAGCCTACTGTGGGAGAGAACAAATCAGCTTCTAGCTGAATAGGAAATTAGGGAAAGACGTTGGAGGTGGACAGGACATGCCTTGCAGAAATCATCGAACTGCATTACGAGGCAAGCCCTAACTCGGAACCCTGAAGGGAAACGGAAAAGTGGAGGGCCGAAGAACACTACGTCGGGAATTGGAAGCAGACATGAAAAGGATGAATAGCAACTGGAGGCAACTGTGAAGGATTGTCCAGGACGGATTTCTATGGATAATCCTGGTGAGCGGCCTATGCTCCTCCACTACAGGTAATAGGCGTATGCAAGTAATTTTAGGGAGTCATATAGGATTTCAGGATCAGCTTTCAATGACATTTCTCGAGGTTGGTCCATTATCTTGTCTGGCAGGACTGAACTAGCAAGTTTAAATTTGATGGTTAAATATGTGACAAGATTAACAAAGAAAAGCTTCTCTAACCTGGCAAACTATGGATTGGACAAGTTGATTAATAAAAGAAATATTAAGAAGAATAAAACTTACGGACAAAGTATGAAAACAATTAAAGGATTATCTAGCGGCGCAATTAAGGATAATGTTTGTTTAGACATAACAAAGAAATATACAAATAGAAATAATAAAAATAAATAATGTATTACTACAAAATAGAACAAACATAATACGCACCAATAATTTTTTTGCGAATGTTACCATCATTACCATTGTTAATTAGCTATTACAGCTATGTATTATAACTGAAGTAAGCTCATTTCTCAAACCAACCGGAAAATCAATATGCGAGTCAATTGAATGATTATAGTTTATTATAAACCCAAGGATCGAATTCCTGACCGCTTTCTTCTCATCCTTGTAATTGCAAGTTGGAGGTTGTGTTTTTTGATAGCGGATGCTAGTGGACCTCGCCCCTTATCAACAAATGAACTGATAAGTGCACATAAAGGTGATCGACCGGATAAAAGTTTCCCTTTACACACGCACGGAAAAGTTTATGGTTTGTAAATCTTAGAGAAAGTTTAGCTTCATGAAACGTCTCGTTTATAACTCCAGACAGATAATTCTTAAACAACAGGTTAAAATATCGGTGGTAAGATTTCTCACATGAATAGTTTGAGAAACATTTAAGTCCACCAGCGAAACTAGATAAGGGCATTACTATAGCCCAGAAAGTAGTCTCCGTTCTTGTTCCTCTCATAAAAGTGAGGAAAACTTTTAGGTGACTAGCATAAGAAATGTTTCCCAAATAGCAAACTATTCCCTTGAAATATTCAGACTCTATAAAGAATTGTTTAACTTCTTCAGACAAGCTTAAACTGTAAACTATCACGAAGTGCGACATGTTTACCATCGTCATACAAACAAACCTTCGAAAGATTTGATGATCGATCGCAGTATTACAACCGATTGGTCATAATACCAAGGTTCAAGTACTAGAATTCCTATTGTCACAGTTCTATCCAAGAGTATACGACGTTTATAGCGCGACTCAGTACTCTTCCAAACCAGAAATAATGAACCATTTTATTTCTTCAATGTCTTATGTTTAGTCATTGATAAGAAGTATTTATATAGGTTTTTGACGATCTTTTTGATCTTGTATACGATACCTAATTGGACGCAATGTTTACCATTTTATTTTCATTTCAGCCGTAACTTTTGGCCTTTTAATCCCCGTTGTTTTGGGTTATGTGTATTTATACCTCCCAATTAGTTTGTTTCGATCCCTGATAAGAGATGAAAGTGATATTCTTTCAAAACCGACCGAACTAGAGAAACTACAATCAGTAAGCCCTAATCTCGAAAACGAGTTCAAGGCAAAGAGTGAGGATATCAGATCAAATGATGGGAGCTTTAGTGAATCTAAAATTGTCGTAGTAAACGAAACAGTGCCGATGGAACGTGATCAGACATTATAAGTGTTTTGTGAGAACAGCTTATCTCTCTTAGTCTTTCATTTCTTACCTTTTATTCAAACAGAATGATTTTCTCGTGTCTATTTAAATAAGTAAAAATACAAACTAATGCCACTTTTTATAATTCAAAGCCGAGGCTGTGATTTGTCGATTCTATATGAGTTTCTTCTTATTTTATCTGATTATTATATTCAAATCTGCTGTTTGTATGCTCCAATAATTTTTTGGTAAAAAGAATATATACGTTGTTTCGAGTACCTTCATGTTGTGTTTACTTAAGGTCTGAACGTTCAGCAATTGCCAGATACATTTATCAATTAGTTATAGTAACCTTTATGCTACTTCAGGGAACGGATCTGTGTTGTAGGATATACCTATGGTTTAATAACGGTTACAACTAACTTTCTCTGATTATCGGATAATCTACATTTCGTAGATAATTTATGTATTTCTAATTCATAAAAAATATGTTCAAACACCGATGAATTACTTATCCCCTTCTTAAAATTATCAGCTACAAATAAGTTATTGTGCAAGCACAAACCAGAAAGTTTACAACACTTAATGAATACATAGATCTCAGGTTTTAATTCGGTCACCAGCATGTTTGCAACCTCCAACATATACGGACAATGCTTTAAAGACAATTATGATAACCTATGAATATCCGCTACTCTTAAAGCTAGGTTTCACAGCCGTAAAGAAAAACGAAGGACTTCTACGTAGGAAAATTTTCCCTTTGGTTAGCAGATGGACGTCTCATCTATGTAACTAGTGACAAGTTTACAAGAACAAAGCGAACTTTCTGAATCCGTGGCGAGTTTTTGTCAGATACCAATCGACTAAGGCTGATAAGAATTTACAAGTGAGGTCGCCGACGTGCCCAACGACTTCACTCCTTACTACCACTTTAGGTGTTGGCACAAACCAGCCATGAACAAGTATCTCGGATTCATTGTAAAGAAGACGCGCCCAAAACACATTGTTAAGATTCTCAAAAGGATCTAGATTTTATCAGTCACTGGTCTTGGGTTTTGTTGAAAGTATGAGGGTGGTTACCACTCCCTGGTCGCCCACACCGTGCAAGGGTTCTCCTAGAAGTATCTGAAAAGGGAATTGGGTTAGAGGTGGCCTTAGTAATCTGAGAGTGTGACCGCAGTGTCCGAGCGACAACTGCTTCAGGCCGGTCACACACGACGTTTTTGTGTTAGCTCCGTACTTGTTGCGACCTTACCACCGGAGACGGATACCCATAGGACAAGGTAGGGTGTGCACTTTTAGGGTTGACCTTTTCTAACCCCACCCTTCCTTTGTGGGAAGGTAGCACTACTGTAATGCTGGTTGTCTGGAGGAAAAACCTTACTACCTTCACACCTCTGTACAGTCAACAGTACGACCTCAAACCTTGGGTTCGCTGCTTTTAGTCTCTGTTCTTCAACTAACCTGCCTGGCACGATAGGACCTTGAAGAACGATTGTTCCAGCTAGTATGGTCATCACGACAGGCAAGCCCGACCACCACGCCAAGGTAGTAGCAACGGTCAGGAAATGCCCGGAAGTAGATAGTGGTCGATGGCCATCTAAAATGTTTTCTGGGATGTTCCGCCCACTGTTTCAATCGTCTAGGTTGAGAGAGGATCATGATCCCACTATTTTTGGGAAGTTTTGTCAAAACCTAGCTTTCTGAAAACTGTCCCTTTGATAAATTGGAACAGTTGTCTAATCTTGCCTATCTCCGACGCTTTTTTTCCATCTCTTTTTTGATTACTCACCATTACTTACAATCGCTGGACAGACTTCTTGTGATTTTACATCTAAATTGTATTGGTTTCACAGTGTTCGAAGCCTGATGCGATGAATTTCCGACCGTTTAAAAATTCCAGCGAACATGGAAATCCACTGGTCTTTCCTTACTTTTCGGTTTAATTCAATGACAGAGATTAACTGAATAAATAAATACACAACATATTTCATGTTGACCACGTTAGTCCCAATGAACAGGACGAACAGAAGGCTGGTTAGTCACTTGGTGCTCCACCGCATATACATACTCCTCGTATATGCTACCCACTTTCATGGTATTATTCCTGAAGTTTATGAGATTCATTAGTGTTCACAAAAAAATATCTCTGAGCAATTAAAGTGTTTGCAGAAGTTCACAAGTATGGGCACGACTTTTATGTAGTTGAAAGATGTATTAAGGCCGGAAACTAAATCTGAGACGGGAATTAACTAAATAAAGCAATAGTTTTAGTGAACATCTATGATATAAACCGAGTCACCTTACAAAATGTAGTGTGAGCTTAGACATTATAGTTAAGATTAACATTCCCAATATCTCGAGGAGAGCGCGAAATGCCAGCAGTACAACCAAAACCAAGGTACTAATATTATATCCCCAAACTTTGAAAACAATGAAACTTACTACTCTGAACCACTACTTTTGACCCTGATCTTGACTTTTTGTCACGCAGTACCTTCGTTGTCTCTCCAAGTTTGATCTTTAAAAACATTTTTATTTCAAAGCAGAATATGTGCTCCTTTGCATGGGACAGCTAGTGGATACAGATGACCCACCTAGGAGAGTTGGAAAACCCTAATTCCAAATCAATGGTGCACATGGGCTCCAGGGTCCTAAGGAAACAAATGGTGTATGAACCTATTGTTGGTCACCGGATACCATGGGACTGTATCTCCTGACGTTGCTCCACTGCCTTGTGGATTAGACCTTTAGGTCAAAGGCTCGGGGTGTGGCCCCCTGAGAAAATCACCTGCTTCGGTTCGGGCACCCGAGAACTATCCCGGCCCTCACATAAATCCAATTAATCATGTGGCGCATATCTGTTTGGTGACTTCTTGTACCAATGTTTGTGTTTAAATAAAATAAGAAAGCACGAGCTGGCAAACAGGAAATAAAAGGAAACATTTTCCCAACCCATTAATACAATGTTTAGTCTACTCGCAATACATAGCTTCAAAGCCCACTGATAAAGTGAGTATAGCCGCATAGTTGTTGACAGACCACAAGCCCAAGCGTTTTTAACTTTCACAACTAGAGGTGATGGGTTATGGTACCATCAGGTAAAATTCTGCATACAAAAGCTAGAGCTATACAGGAGAAAATTCGGAAGGTCACGATCAACTCCAGAGATTATATACTTTAAGTTTAAACGCTTTTAATAAAGCTGCACAAACTAATACAGTTGACAACGAATTAAGGATGGTCGATACAGAACCAGTTATCTCTGGTATTTCAGTGAGTAAAAATCAGAGCTCACCACAAATTGCTAATTAGCTTTGAACTTATTTTAGCAGGCAGATATGACAGTTTATCCCTGAACATCTTTTAGTTTGTCAACTTGTATAAAATTAAGAGAATTATATATAGACTCATATAGGTATGAACCTAACAATGCCACATTGAATGAGACTAGTTATCAACAATTTGCACCAAGCATCAAAGAGATGGGGGAGATTTTAGTTACGATTAGTGAGAACTCGAAGTTATATAGGCTGACCATTATATTTATTGGTGCCTTTTACGGAGAAACTGTTACATCATCACACTCATGTACTTCATGCCTTCGAAACGGACGCTTGTGATTTGGCTTGCTGTTTTGCTCGTAATGCCTCAGCGTCTCTAGAGCATACAATATAACTAGATAACATTCCTACCTCAAACGTCTTTCTTCTAAAGTTAATCCCTTATTCCCATCCTTTTGACTGCTAGTTTTAGACTTTCGTTGTTCACTCTGTTTTTTTAAATTTTTCTCCCTAGCTAAATCTCTTTGGTTTCCGCCTACACAAAATCGAGAAATTAGCAACAAGTCGACCTACGCGTCATACGGACGACGATTATGATCCAATTCGAATGGTTCAAATGGTTCGAAATTCAAGTTCGCAACGACCTTGAGAGACTCGAAAAAGATTCAGATTTGTGTAGTAAGGACATAAGGCCCACAGCCTATGTTATTCCTTTCCTAGAATGCTTCAATGAGTATCTAATCTTCTATTGAATGACTCAACTGAATGTGTGGACACCACTGTTTCGGGTAACAGGTTCCAAGATTTGATGACTCGGTGTGAAAACCTGTATGCCAAAAGTATTTTGTTCATTCTTGGTTTTTCTACTCATCTACTATGTCCTCTGAGATTTTCCGATCTATAGAGGAGGAAAAGAGAGGATTACAGGCACTTCGAGAGGATCTGACTCGACTTCAAAGTTCGGCAGACGATAGCGGACTTTTCCATACACATTGTTCCTTTTATTATCTTAAAGAGAGCAAGGACAAAGATTGTTGCAGAATAATATGAATTCATTCTATTTCGTTAGGTTCTCATCAGCTCCTTACAACCTAAATTATTTGAAATTCAAAATTATTACAGATATTGACATTGTAGCGGTAAATAAATCCCTAAAATAAATAGCTCTAAGTTTTCGACATTGGATGCTGACCATATGTTTTAGTGGACTCATCTAGCTGAAGGCGCTCGGTCATGCATCCGTACCAGATCACGTGTGGTAACGCCGTGCTCAACATCAACCGCAATCGCTAGCCAGATTAGATCAGAGAATTCCGATATATTGGTCATCGTCAAATATACTCTTCCGATCTCCTCGACTCTGTCTTTTGATTGCTCTGGGTGGGAACGAAATATATTAGAAGGTGTTACTGGTAGAAGCGTTGTCAAACACTGAATACCTGTGACATCATCATTGGTGAACCCAACGTGATCTGGTACACCTTATTGCAACTGTGAGTCTGTTCCTTTTTGGGATTTTTATATATCATTGCCTTTTTTTAAACATTGTGATTTTTTTTCGTATTTTTTCCCCTCGTTCATTATCGTACTTCATATTTCATCATGACTGAACAGACACCTAAAGTACTCAAGCTTAAGACCTTGTCCCCACCTTCGTTTCAACTGATGCCTTTCTGGACCGACAACATCGAAGCCTGGTTCTGCTACGCAGAAGCCGACTTCCACGAGCACGGCGTGATCGACACACGTGCACAATTCCTCGCAGTAGTCAAGGCACTACCACGGGAATTCAACAGGTACGTAGCACCTAGTATGTTTACTAGTGATGTTTCCGAACCTTATGAAATCTTGAAACGTTCGATTCTGAAACGAGGAGACCCAACCGATCGAAAAAGGTTAGATCAACTCTTCAATAACATAGACCTGAAACACGGTTCTGCGACAGACATGTTGCAACAGATCAGAGAGGTTATAGGCCTAAGAACTTTCGACG